AAAACCCCCCCCCCCCCCCCCCCCCCCCCCAACCTGTAAACTTACCAGGTGCCTCTTCGGCTAGCTGCTACCTGCGGACGTTCCCCGACAACACCAAATCAGATAGGGAAACCAACCAAACCCCAAGCAAGAACACCTAACCTTCACCCTATCGGATTCCTAGACGGGAGATATCACCGGCGTTGTCACTAGAACTGCCAAAAACGTTACGCGAAAGAGCGGAGATGGATTCACATTCCACTTATTAATCTCAGCCGTAGAATCAAAAGAGCAGATCCCGGAAGCGGTCCGGCGCCGGTTTCGTGGCTTGTCAAGGACAGCCAGCGTCTCCTCAAGAGCCGGCAAGTGAAGCATTGGTTCCGAGAAGGGCAACACGCGCCTAAGAACGACAGCCGTTCAGCGCATCACAACAATAACAACAGCAGCAGCATCGCCCGCTGTATGGTACGTACGCTATTTCACGAGGTACTGTTACCACCGAGACCTGCGTTCTAATAGTAAATCAGTACTGTATTGTATGGCATGCAAGCTACTAGGTACTACGAAGCAACGAGGCCCGAGTCTAATAGTCGGTCCACGATGTCCGCCTTCCTCCCCGATGTCGGCACCCCGGCCGCCTTACAACGCTCCCTCAAATCCTTCACCGTCAACTTCATCAACCCCTCCTTGGACAAGCCCCCTCCCTCCCCCTCCCCGGCAACAGTGGCGGCTTTCGCCTTTGATGTAGCCGGCGCTGCTGCCCGACCTCTCGCCCGAGTTGTTGTTTTCTTGGCGGGGGCCGCCTGGTGACCCTCATGCGGCAGCGGCCGCGGCTTCGCTGCAGAGGCCGCCGCCCCTGCCGTGGCAATATTCTTCTCGACCTTGATGTCCTTGATCTTCTGCGCTTCTCTTTCGGCCGCGGCGGCGGCCTGGGCCTTCTTTGCCTCCGCCTCCTGCCGCGCCGAAAAAAAAAGTACATAAATAAAAACAAAATTAAGTATACCTCCGACGGTGACCTCGAACGGGTTGTAATCTCTGTGTTTGTCATGTATGTTAGATAAAATAAGCAAATAACATGAAAACAAAATAAACGAAATGAAGTATACATTCGACTGTAATCTCGAACGGTTGTAGCCAACGTGTTATGTATATTCTCAAAAAAAAATATCACAGATACCTGCGGATAGAGATGGGTGAATCGTGCGATATAATGAAAAAAAAGGGAAAAACGAAACCAGAGAAGACCTATCTTGGGCCGTTTCTCAAGCACCGTTTTTCCGGGATTTCTCGTCCTCTCTCACTGGGGGGGGGCGGCCTGCCGGGGAACAGAATTCAGATCCGACGGACCTTCTTACGGCTCCTCGAGGCATATTTATTTTCATTTCTGCCCAAATGGGAAAGAAAAAGGCTGATTCAAGCTATGAGCATGTTTCATTCAGTTCCACATTTTCGGCTCGTGTACGGCCAGCAAGACTAGGGGCGCCCTGTTTTTTTGGTTCGCCCACAGAGAGAGAGAGCATATGTATGACCGCATGCCATAGGCTGCAGCTTGTGAATGTCGTCGGCCGAAGGCCTCCCTCTGGCATGCGTTGTGGACTGATCACACTCGGAGCGACAACGACGAAGCAAGCCTGCAACGACGAAACAAGCTTGCAACGAAACAAGCTTGCAGCGACGAAACAAGCTTCGATTCGTGTTTGCACGGCGATCGTGCCAGAACGAGGAACTGCAAGTATGTTTTTGTTTTGTTCCCCCGCGGCGTCGTATGTGCCGAGTATTGAGACCACGGGCTCCCCATTTTTCGTGGACTATAGAGCTAATGTGAGAAACAGTAACAACAACAACAACAACAACCGTCTGCTGTTCAATCAGAGGCGGGTGTGGAAGTATACATAACCTCTGCTCGCGTCCCAAAAAACGGGGCGTATGATCTGAAAAGACCAAACATCCCAACCAAACAAAGCACCACATGGAGTCGAGAAAACACCCACACGCACAATCCCATCACCACCAGCAGCGCAGACAAACTCTTGAGCGGTAAGGTGCAACGGCGAGCTGAGGGATCTGTGCGAAAGAGCACTCGGAAGCTTGCAGTCGTCGTGACGAGAGAGCCTTAAAGCACCACCACCAGCCGCTGCCAATCAAACATCCAAGAGCACACGCCCAGAATGACGAGAAGAGTGCGTGTGAGGGATGAGGATGAGGGATATACAGACAGACACCCCCCCGAACGGCTCGTAACTCGAAACCATCGTGACGAAACAGGCTCAATCCACCGCCACCAACAGCTGTGAGTGAGCTAAACATCTAAAGAGAACGCACACCAACACTGACGAGATGAGGAGTAGACAGATCATTACACCGACAAGCTCGTAGCCACCACGAGAGACGACAGAGAGAGAGAGCCTCAAAAGCACCACCACGCACCTCGCTGGCCTTTCTCTCCTTTGCCTCCAGCGCCGCCTGCCGTGCCGTCGTCTTCTTCGGCTGCGTGTTCTTAACCCTGGCGGCCGCCCCAGCCCCAGCCCCCGCCCCTGCCGCCGCGGCGGCGGGCGTCCCCGCCTTAGCCTTAGCTGCTTCCCCCTCTAGTCTCGCCGCCTCCGCCGCTGCCTTCATCGCCTTTGGCACGAAAAAAAAAATTGTTTGGGGGGGGGG